TTGATGATAAGTTCTTAATTTTTACCTTTTCCTTTATGTTTGATTTTTTGTACTTTGTTTAAGAAATCCTTCTGTACTCTGTCACCACAAAGATATTTTACTGTATTATCTTTCAAAGCCTTTAATTTTGCCTCTTTTTGATCTTTATTTCTCCCACAAATTAATTTTGATTATAGTGAGGGATAGAGAGCCAATGTAATTTTTTTCCCCCATATGGATGTCTTTATCCAGTATCATTTATTGAAAAATCCATTCTTTTCCCATCACCCACAATGCCACTTCTGTCATGTATCTATTATCTATATATGACTGTGTCTATTTCTGGGCTTTAATTCTGCTGCATTGATCTATTTGTCTATCCAGCACCAATAATTCACGATCTTAAGAACTAATGATTTATAATGTCTTGAAGTGTGTAGGGCAAGTCTCCTAAACTTATTTGCCCTCTTCAAGAGCGACTTAGCTATTTTTTTCTTTGTATTTCCATATAAATTTTAGAATATGACTATGAAGTTCCACTTTAAAAAATCTATTGGAGATTTGATTGAGATTGCATTGATTCTGTAGATTAAATTGGGGACAATAGTTATCTTTACAATATAGAGTTTTCTAGTCTATTTCTTCTTAAAAATTTTGCATATGTTTTGTTAGATTAATACCTAGATATTTCATGCTTTTAAAAATATACATGTGGGATATATATATATATATTTTATTAACTGGTGCTGCTATATAAAAATGTAATAAATTTTTGTATATTGAGTTGGTATTTGGCAACTTCTGCTAATTTCACATTCACTAAAAATTTATTGGTGTTCAATTAGCTGGGAAAACATTTTATTGGTGACCATTTTGAATTTTTTAAATTCAACAACAATATCATTTGAGAACAATGATAGTATTTTCCCCTTTCCAATCCTTATTCTTTTTATATTTTGTTCTTGCTTTTATTCAATGACTAGTATGTGCAATATGATGTTGCAGGGGTGGAAGGCAAATCCTCTACCCTCTGGGTCCTTCTGGCTGGGCTATGAATTAAATTCACATGAGACAGAATAACAGGAAAAATCAAACAAAGCTCTATAACATGTATACATGGGAGACACTCAGGAAAACTGAGCAACTTGCCAAAACGGTGTAGGCTCTCATCTTAAATACCACCTTCAGCTAGAGACAAAGGAGGATGTTGGGGTGGGGAGAGTCAGTTATGGGAGATTCCTAGAAAAGCACAGTAAACAAGAGTCAGATTATTATGCAGATTTAAGGGCTTGCCTTCCATGTTGACAAGTTTCTAGAGATAATGTCATCCCCCCTTCTTCCTGGTACAGAGAGGGAGATACCTTTGCAGATGGAGGTTTCCCTTACAAATGTAAATGTTATCTTACAAAGGGTAAATTCTACTTTTCAGAACTTCCCCCATGTCTACAGTTTTTAAAAATAACCAGCCCAAAATAATCCTCATGTCAAAGAGACACATTTTGGGGTGGCCAATTCTGATCCCCCACAATGTTAAATAGAAGTGGGCATCCTTATCTTGTTCTCAATCTTAGAGAAAATAACCATTAAATATAATGTTTTCTTGAGTTTTAATTACTTTTAAATTAGGCTGAGAAATCTTCTTCTATTTCCAGTTATCTAGGGGTTTTTATTACTAATGAATGTGAAATTTTATCAAACATCTTTTCTGCAACTATTGAGATAATCATATAAATTTTCTCCTTTGATCTGTTAATCTCGTGAATTGCACTAACTGATTTTCTAGTATTAAACCAATCTTGAATTATTAGGATAAATCTCATTTGGTCAAAATATATTATTTTTTCTACCTATTGCTCTGTATGTTTTGGTAATATTTTATTCCTGGCACACACTTTGAAGCTTATCTTCTATTTCTGTAAGCATAGCAAAAATTTTAATTTTATAGTTTGTGTCTAAAATATATGTGAGCATATTCCTGGAAACACTGATTTCTGCTGTTTATCACTCATGGTATCTTTTTTTTAAATTTTATTTTTATTTTTATTTTTTTATTTTTTTTAAACATTTTATTTTTTCCTTTTTCTCTCCAAAGCCCGCCCCCCCCCCCCCCGGTACATAGTTGTATATTCTTCGTTGTGGGTCCTTCTAGTTGTGGTATGTGGGACGCTGCCTCAGCATGGTTTGATGAGCAGTGCCATGTCCACGCCCAGGATCTGAACCAATGAAACACTGGGCTGCCTGCAGCGGAGCGCACGAACTTAACCACTTGGCCACGGGGCCAGCCCCTCATGGTATCTTTTTTTCTTTTTAAAGATTTTATTTTTTTCCTTTTTCTCCCCAAAGACCCCCAGTACATAGTTGTATATTCTTCCTTGTGGATCCCTCTAGTTGTGGCATGTGGGACGCTGCCTCAGCGTGGTTTGATGAGCAGTGCCGTGTCCGCGCCCAGGTTCGAACCAATGAAACACTGGGCCGCCTGCAGCAGAGCATGCAAACTTAACCACTCGGTCATGGGGCCAGCCCTCATGGTATCTTTTTTTACTTGTGTGTTTTGTCATTTTTTTCCCCGTGAGCTGTTCATCTTACTTAAAGTTTTACTTTTTTGGAACTCTTTGAAGTCTGAGATGAGGGTAGGATGCTCCAGATTGAATTTGCGTTTGTTTCTGACCAGTTTTATGGAGGCACTACAAGTCTGAGATACTGTAATTTAAATTCTCATTTTGAGGTTTTTGGTAACAAACAGTTCCTGTGAATTTGTGCTACAAACCTGTGTGAGGACCATCTTGTGGTTCCAAATTCTTAGCAACGTTTTTACCTCCTCTCCTCCATGCTGAGAGTGAAGACTATTTATTTTCTTTGTAGACCCCCAGGGACAGGAAAGGGGTGAGTTTATTTCTAGGTCATGCTTACACTGAGTATTTAAAACTTTGATGTCTCAGCTTTATTGAGGTAGTGGAGGAGCTACCTTTATTGAGGTAGGGATTAAACTACTTTCTTTGGAGGGCCCTGGTCTTTGTCTCCTGCTCCGTGGGTCCTTTGAGTCCATGATAACCAAAGTTCAAATTCATACAATTTAGCCAGTGCACTGAGAAAGAAAGCTGATTAAAATGCTACACTTACTTCTTTGGGTTTCCTCCCTCTTTTAGTCTTTGATCTGAGAATTCCTTACTTTCTTATAATTCACTGATGCTTAAATATTCTCAAATACATAATCTAGAATTGTTTTTATTGTCTTATTAAAGAAGGACAAACCAGGTGCCTAGCCTGCCATATTATGTGAAACAACTATATTAAATATTTAATATATTCCCAGCCTATAGTTTCTGTGTTATCTTAATTTTGTCATTATTGTCTATAAACATGCTTTTTCAATGCAAATATCCTTGAGAGAGACAACATATTTAACAGTGAGCTTATTGTGTAAAATAGGTTTTCAGATGTTTTCTTTCTGTGAGAACTCTGACTAGGGGTCTGAGATGATGAGAGAAGTATATGTATTTTTTATGACAAAAGAGATAAGAAAAGAGAAATAATTTTGAAGAATTAGATGTTATTAAAGAAAAACAGACTGGGAGACTGCATTGCCTCTGGCCACTAGGTAGTTAGGACACACAGGGAGACATCAGAACGGGTGAAAGATATGCTTAAAACTCCAAAAGATAGAAAGGCACTAAAAGAAATTTCTATTACCTGACAAATTTGCCAAGGTTTAGTTATACAACTGTAATTAGAAGAACCTACCATATAATTCCTCAGAAACTAAAAACTCTAACTCAGAGGGAAAGTTCATTTGAACTCAAGGACTTTTTTAACAATTGCATTTATTTTACTCACAGCTCTGGCAAAATAAACTGGAAAGATATAATTTTATTTTAATCTGTAAATAGAGAGAGTTTTACTTCTTCCTTTCCAATTTTTATTCTTTTTTTTCTTGCCTTATTGCAATGGCTAGGACCTCCATTACAATGTTGAATAGCAGTTGAGAAAGTGGGCCTCCAATCCTTGTTCCCAATTTTAGGGGGAAAGTATTCATGTGTGAGCATTAAATGTGATATTAGCTGTAGGTTTTTGTAGGTGCCTTTTATGAAATTGAGAAGTTCCTTCTTATTCCTAGTTTGTTAAGGGTGTTTTTATAAATGGATGATGAATTTTGACAAATGTTTTCTCTGCATGTATGGAAATGGTCTTGTCTTTTTTTCTCCTTTATTTTGTTAATGTGGTTATAGTGATTGATTTTTGAGTGTTAAACCAACCTTGCCTTCTTGGGCTATATCCTTCTTCGTCATGGTATATTATTCCTGTTATATATTGTTGAAGTCAACTAATCAATCTTTCAAGGATGTTTGGATCTATGTTCATGAGAAATATTGGTAGACAATTTTCTTTTCTTGCAATGTCTTTGTCAAGTTGTAAGATTAGGATTATGATGGTCTCACAAACAAGCAGGAAAGTATTCCCTTTTCTCTATTTTTTGTAAGAGTTTTTATAAGATTAGTGTTATTTCCCTCATGATTGTTTGGTAGGATTCACCAATGAAACCATTTGGATCTACAGTTTTCCGTTTTGGAAAGTTTTTCACAATATATTAAATTTTTTTTTTTTTGAGGAAGATTAGCCCTGAGCTAACTGCTGCCAATCCTCCTCTTTTTGCTGAGGAAGACTGTCCCTGAGCTAACATCCGTGCCCCTCTTCCTCTACTCTATATGTGGGATGCCTACCACAGCATGGTGTGCCAAGTGGTGCCACATCTGCACCCAGGATCCAAACCGGCAAACTCTGGGTTGCCGAAGTGGAATGTGTGCACTTAACTGCTGCGCCACCAGGCTGGCTCTATTTAATTTATTTAATATTAGTATTTTCTGTTTAATCTGTGTAGACTTTGGTAACTTGCATTTTTCAAGAAATTTATCCATTTTATCTAAGTTGTCAGATCTTTTGGTATACATTTTTCATAATATTCTCTTATCCTTTTAATGTCTGTAGGATGTGTAGTGATAATCTCTCTTTTATTTCTGATATTGATAGTTTGTGTTGTATCTTTTTCTTTATCAATGTTAGAATTTATCAATTTTCTTGATATCTTCAGATCAGCTTTTGGCTTTCTTAGATTTCTCTACTGTTTTTCTCTTTTTAAGTCTTTTTCAAGGTTTTTGACTGAGAATACAGTTTCTTCACTCATGAATCAAATATATCAGTAATGTAAATAACTGAGAAGAAGATCTCACCTCTCCTGTCCAGTTTCATGGAAGTAGGTAGTCTTAGATCAGATTCCTTGGAAGAAGAATCTGAGATAGGGATTTGGGTGAATGTGGGTTACTGAGGGAGCACTCTTTGGGAAAAACCTGTAAGGGAGGAAAAGGAGAAGCAAAAAGAGCTGCCGAGCAAGGATGAGGTAAAGTCTAATCTTGGCCCAATCTACAGAGGAGAGGGTTCTGGATATAAACAGCACACAGACCTGTCATCCTTTGTGGCAAGACGGCTGGACTTTTATACCATCATGTTATTTGGCCATTGGTTGTGGGTCATCTATGGAGGGGGCATGATTTCCTGAGTGAGTTGGCTCCCATTGGTTGATGGCAATTCCCTGGAGAAAAGGGTTAGCTGCAAGCCATTACCAGCCACCACTCACAGGATCTCTCCACTTACAGCGGGTAGGTGTTTCAAGTAAGTAAAGGGGATCTGGGCAGGGTGCCATAGTATCAACTGCAACTATGCTAGTAAACACGGAGTTCTAGGCAAATAAAATAGTATTTGCAAGTGGGGAAAGTGCTTTGAATATTTAATCACACAGCTTTTAACCAATAAAATGTTTCTGATAGTGTTTAAAGAACTATTCCAATAGTAGTCCTTGCTCAGAGGAATAATATCCTCATATATACGTAAGGCTTCAAGTAAGAAAGAAATATAATACAAAGTTTATGTATTAGTTAAGACTGGCTAAACTATTGTAAAATCTAGATGCCCAAATATAATGGCTCTAAAGAAGTTTATTTCCCGCTCAACAGTCCAGGTTGATGTGGGGAGTGGAGAAACTAGAGGAGAAGGTTCTCCTTTACACAGTCATTCAGGAACCTGAGCTGATTACAGCTCTGTACTCTTCTACAGGTGGCTTCCAAGAATGCCATAAGCATTGTCATTCAGCTGACTGGATGTATCAGTTAGCTATTGCTGCATAACAAACTTAGCAGTATAAAACAACAATTTAATATTTATCATATCATAGTTTCTGTGGGTCAGGAATTTGGAAGTGGCTTAGCTGAACAGTTCTGGTTCAGTCTTTCACAAGTTTGCAGTTAGATGTTTGTTGTAGCTAAAGTCATTTGAAGGCTTAACTAGGGCTGAAGTATTTACTTCCAGTGTGGCTGGTTGTGGGCAGGTGGCCTTAGTTCTCTGCCACACAGACCTCTCTATAGAATTGTTTGAATGTCCTGACAACATGGCAGCTGGCTTCCCTCAGAGAAACTGATCTAAAAGGGTAAGAGAAAAGTTGCAATATCTTTTATGACCTAGACTTGGAAATCACAGTCTATCATATCTCCAATATCTTATTAGTTACATACGTCAGCCATATTCAATAGAGGAGGGCATTACACAGGGACATAAATACCAGGAGTCAATTGTTGCGATCCATCTTGGAGCCAGGCTACCATCGTGGAGGAGCATGTGTGGGAGGTTTTCATAGGGCAAGACTACTCAAATTACATTCAAGTAAACTTACCCACCTGACCACGTCTAATAGCAGGAGGAGCAAGGACATGCCGTATAGCTGGCCAGCCATGTGTCTTTTATTGGAGTGGAAGAAGGAGGCAGGGCAGTGTTTAGATGCACATCTGGCAAACTCTGCTACAACTGGGAAAGAAAATATTCAAGAGATGAGAAACTAAAATAAAAACAACAAAAGTTGATCTTAGTGAGCAAATTTCCAACTATGTGTATCCATGCCAACGTAATGTTTAAAAATTTTTTTCTGATATCATGAAATTGTTCTTGCCAGCAGCATCTCACAGGCCAAAGCTTTGAAATTCCAATAGGTTGTTTGAAAAGCCAACATCCTAGTCTTGGCTTTAACAAATGTTTTCAATTTATTTTATGTAACTGACATTTAAAAACTAGTGCAAAAAAATACTAATGTCCATTAGCAAAACCCAAGACACATATACAACAGGGAGAATATAATTTGTCTGCACACTCACTACCTAGAAAACTAATAACTTAAGAGCAAAATATCCTACCCTTTCCTTGAGAATCTCCCTTGGAGAAATGTTTCCTAGGCACTGATTGAGATCACAGACTAGACAATTCTCATTGCATTTCCTGTAAAGATAATAAAACCTCAGATAGAAGATTAAATATTCAATCAAAAGGTATTTTCAATTAGTTTTGCTTAATGAAGAAAAGATACTTCTTAGTTGTAACATGAACCTCAAATGGGGGAAATTTTTGTTTCTAATTTCTCCCAAACATTCTGTGGGTTTTGAGTTATATTCTGCATCAATGAACTGGAATTCAGAATGTTCTTGAGTTGCCCTAAGCATTTAACAACTCAGAACTAGTTTTGCCGTTTCCACTGAGGATAGTATATATTCACTGTTTTAAAAGTAATCTTGCTTGGCTATACTTGGTTGGAGTGATAGAAGTAGTATTTTGTAAAAATTCTGTATTTTCTGAATTGTTGCGTGCATTGTTACTATAACAACTTAAGCAGGATGCAGTCCCATTTTAGGGTCTGTCAGTCATTTAATAATGGAGAATTATGTAAATCATATGGAAAATTCTTGTCACTGATTACCATCGCTTTGTGATATCCTGGTTTCTGATAAAAAATAATACAAATATACATTATACATTTCCTATAGAATTTAAGAATTTAAATTGAATTCATTAAATCCTGAAATTTATTAAATTTCATTAAATAATGAATCCTGAATTCATTAAATCCAGAATTCATTAAATCCTGAAACAAGGAGCAGCTGTGGTGGGAGTAGAACATAAAGTTGGGAATCTTGACTCTGTCATGAACTGGCAAATCATTTAGTCTCTTCGAGTTCTAGTTTCCTCACCCAAAATAGGAATACTAATAACTTCCTCTCTAAGGTTTTGTGTGAATTAAAGGAGGGAAAACTAGGGGCCGGCCCGTGGCCGAGTGGTTAAGTTCCTGTGCTCTGCTGCGGCAGCCTGGGGTTTCGCCGGTTCAGATCCTGGGCTCGGATATGGCACCGCTCATCAAGCCATGCTGAGGCAGCTTCCCAAGTGCCACAACTAGAAGAACCCACAACTAAAAAAACCCCCACGACTACGTATCTGGGGGATTTGGGAGAAAAAGGAAAAATAAGATCTTTAAAAAAAAAAAAAAGGAGCGAAAACTATGTGAAAGTACTTAGTAAAGTTTTGTACAGTACATAAAGGTTTTGTTTGTTGGTCCTGTAATAGAATTTCACAGACGAGAAAATTCAGACAGAGAGGTAAAGTGACCTGCCTAATATCATATATCCAAGCTTACCTCCACACTATGCTCACCCCAAAGTCTCTTACAGGCGGCCTATACACCAATTACTTGCAACAGGATGGGTATAGGACCTAAGTGGTTATATATGTGTAGTAGGAGTTGGAGGTAGTGTAATGTGGACCATGTTTTTGTATTTTTTTTTAGATTTTTTAAAGATTTATTATTATTATTATATACAGTCATTTGCCACATAATGATGTTTCAGTCAGTGACAGACTACATATATAATGGTGGTCCCATAAGATTAGTACTATATAGCCTAGGTGTGTAGTAGCCTATACCATCTAGGTTTGTGCAAATACTCTCGATGATGTTCACACAACAACGAAATCACCTAACAATGAATTTCTCAGAACATGTCCCCATCATTAAGTGACACAAGACTGTAAACTGCTAATTTTAGATTTTTTACTATGGCAGCACCTCACCCCAGGTACCAATTTCTTTATCAATACCTATACTGGATCAGTTTAGACTATGATATGGCAACAAAAATAAATATCTCAGTGGCTTAAAACAACAGAGTTTATTTTCACTCATGCTACATTGTGCATTGCCTGGGAAAATCAGCTCCATATCCTAAGTCAGGGTACCCAGACTGATGAGGTCTCCAACATTTGCTAGGTCTTACACCCAGAGTTTCTGCTTTTATCAGCAGGTCAAGGGTGAGGTCTGATAATCTGCATTTCTAACAAGTTCCTAGGTGTTGATTTTTCTGGTTGGAAACCACATTTTGAGAACCATTTACCTAGAAAATTAACTCCTTGTTCCTGTTCAGGAGTTTCTGACCAGGCTTTTCATACTCTCAGAAGATAAACCAAATCTCTGAATCCATAAGGTGTCTCAGAGTAAAGACTCAATTAAGTGAGAGCAAATCCTTTCAATTGGTCAAAACAGCTCAGGGAAAAGAGATTAAGTATGATTCTCTCAACAAAGTGTAGTTAGCTCCAAATAGACACATCTACAATTAAGAGACAGAGATATGGGGACAAGAAAGCAAAAAAAGCATGGCAGAACCATGTCTCAAACAGAACTATGGGGGTAGTTACTGGCAATTGGAGCAGACAAGAATCAAACAGATTGAAAACCCTACCAAATTTTTGAGAGAGTTATACTGCCAAAAGAGCCAACCTCCTAGACCAAAAGAGACTGTAACTATTTGAGATTTAAAACAACCCTTGGGCCTCTCACTGTCCACTAGCAGGAATTGGGCTGAGAAAGCTGCTCAGTCCTGAAAGAGGGCATATTCCCCAATGTCTACTTCTGATTTGGCCAAAGAGGAACATGAAAAGGGAAGAATCTTTCAGAAGGCAGAACAATGAGCAAAAAACACTTCTCAAAATCAGGGCTTAATCAGCTAACATTCCTTCACCAGGTAACTACAGGTAGTGAGCCCTCAAAAGTTCTCCCTAGCAGGATTTCAGAATTCCTAAAGACCCCGTTTGCCATGTATTTACCATTTTCCCCAAGGAGAATATTTATTACAATTATCCTGTCCCTGTACTAACATTATATATTGGGTGGCAGCAGGTAGGTATTTCTTTATTTTTTATTTCACAGGTACAGGTAGGATCTAGAGGAGCAGCATCATGATTTGAAACTACCACATCTTACCCAAAGGTCTCAGATTATGAACTTGATGCCATAATTGCATGGGATTTGAGGCTTTCTTCCTTAGGGAGTGGGTGAGTATATTTTGCATATCAGAAATGGAATGAATCAAATATTTGGTGACCAAAAGGGGAGTAGCCATTAGGGCTGTTCTAAATATCCCAGCTCTGCCAGGGATATGATAGGATTGTACCTCCCTGTCCTGAAGTTACACATGGACAGGTAATTTACTTTGGCTAATGAAATGTGAGTATAAATGATATGTGTCACTTCCAGGCAAATCCTTTAAGAGCCAGAGCATTATTCACACGTTTCTCTTCTCTCCTACTGTAGTAATCAGAGAAGCACATGTTGATATGGAACCTCTTTGAGCCTTGGTCCCTGAGTCACTAAGATGAACAGACATCCTCTTGCTGAGCTGGGTTCTGCACGTAGAGTGGGCAAGAAGTAAATATTTGTTATGATCAAGCCTCTAAGGTAAGGGGGGTTGTTTGTTACTACAACAAAGGCAGTCTATCCTTACTGATACAAGCACAAAATTTCTTAATTCATTGAGACCACTTCCTTTCACAAAGGAACTTCACAAGTAGGATCCATTTCAACCAACCTCAGATAAGTTTGTTTTTTTTAACCCATCTAATAAATTGTATTTCCCATTAGCAGCTGGAATCTTTTGCCAAAAATTCTGTCATTGACAGAGCCAACAATCTAATCTCCAATCATCTCTGCTTGGCCATTTCATTATAGAGTTAAACTATAATCTGTGCCACACAGTGTGGAATGAAAGGCAATTATATGGTAAATCTTGTCAGGATAGATGACTAATATGGATAATTCAAACTTTTAACAACATTTTCCCACAATGTAGTAAAATATTTTCTCTCCCTTGAATTATCCTAAGAGAGCAGTTGCAATTTTTATTGTATTTTACCTCTCTAGGAAAAGTTGATAGGAACAAAGAACTAGTATAGGAGAGGGGAATGAATCTCCAATAGAATTTTGTAAAGATAAAAGATGCTCTTATTTCAGTAATTTCAGTATATATGTGTGTGTGTATCTATATAATATATTGTTATATTTCTGTATAACATTTTTGAAAAATCTCTATTCTTATTTTTTAAAAGAATTATTACATTTATTTGTGCTTTCTTTTTTTTTTTTTTTTACAGGGAAGGATTCATCCTGAGCTAACATCAGTTGCCAATTTCCCTCTTTTTTTTCCTCCCAAAGCCTCCATGCATGGTTGTATATCCTAGTTATAAGTTCTTCTGGTTCTTCTCTGTGAGCTGCCGCCACAGCATGAAAACTGACAGACGAGTGGTGTGGTTCCACGACTGGGAAACAAACCCGGGCCACCAAAGTGGTGAAAGTGCTGGACTTTATTTAACCACTAGGCCATCAGGGCGACTCTATTTGTGCTTTCAATTTGTGTAGAACCACACAGCTTCTCAAATAGGGATAAAATCAATTAAGCAGAGACTGCAAAAATTGAAGGAAGAGGAAACTTTTTTCTTCCTTGTATATAGTATTAGCAGAACTCAGCAGCCCAGTATCATTTAACTGACAAGAGTTTTCATAAAGAAAGGAGTCTAGGAATAGCTCAGCACAAGAGACCTCCCAGGGAGGCCACAAGTAACCCCTCTGTGACAGAAAAGCAGAGTGGAAGAAAAATATTGTAATCACGAGGACCTCAACGAAAGTTCACCCTTCCCCTGTCAAAAAAATATGACTG